AATTGCTTTAAAGCTTTTGTACAAAGGCATTATAATAATTCGATCCTGAACCACCTTCCACTCCTTTTACCAGTTCCTTTTATGAGCCAACTTTTAATTTTTTCTTACTATTGATTTTTGACCCTATCACAAGATAAGGGGGCACTGTGATGGAAATGCACTTGGAACAGCTCGGAACTTCCTTGTTAGAAGTCAGGGGAGGAGAGACTCCGAGAAGCGTGAGCGATTTTTATTTTTCTCGGATTTCGTGCCTCGGTCCTGGATGGTGCCCCGTATCATCCGACAGCACATGCCACCAATGAGCGAGGGATCCTGCCAGAACAACAAACAAAAAAGTTTACTAGCTGGTTGCAGCAACATTTCTTTTTAGAGTTTATGTTTGCACATGAGGATTTTTATTATTTTTCAAAACGGCGTAACATTTTAGTGAAGTCATCGGTATATCCGGTTATCCACTGGCTCTTCATGGTATCATGTTCATTCCCACACTTCAAGCTCAATGCGCCGACGATCAGATGCATTGGCTGGAGAAAGCTATGACGAAGCAGATCATTGGCACCTATGCACAAACCGAACTAGGGCATGGTATGTAATACAATTTGTTCAAATCACTGACACGGTAACAGTGAAGTTGAAATGTGAAGCTATAGGCAGGGTTCAACCGTCCGTTCGCATTATCCGAACGCGAGGGAGTCGCATTCGCGATCTTGAGAGGGTGGAGGTTTCGCATTTGGGGTTAAGAAAGGTTGACAATGTTTTGTAGAAGTGCCAATCTCTTTTTTCCGATCCTTCGATGGCCTTTTTTGATGCGGGGGTTTTTGATGGTTCCGATAATTTTGGTGAAAACGTCGCGAATGCGAAATACCTCTTACATCAGCTCTTGCTCCTAGTTTTGTTTGTCGGGTGTCGTGATGGTGTGGGCCGAAAATGCTTTTCCAGCGGTTCCTAGCTGTACGTAATCTTTCAGGTACAAATCTCAAAAAGCTGGAAACAACGGCGACATATGACGCGAAAACGAAGGAATTCGTGCTGCACAGCCCCACGCGGAACATCTATGAAGTGGTAGGCGTTCATAAGATGTATTATCTTTGTATACAGTGTGCGCCACGCTTCTGTCTCTCACCGTGGGAGAGAAGGCGTACCTAGTGATTAGGTCCGCAAAAACACGAGCCTATTTCCTCGATGCAGGGACGCTTAAACAGTCCCGCTCTCGCTATATATGCCTTATCGATTCGCAATGCACATAGTTACTTTCTGAACGTACATACAGGTTCTTTCTATTTGGTGCTTCTTTGAATAGCACCCTTTTTAAGTGGCGGAGAAACCTTGGCAAAAGTGCCAATCATGCTGTAGTGGTCGCATGTCTGATCATCGATGGACAAAACTACGGCCCTCATAATTTTGTGGTGCCGCTGAGAGATGCCGAGACACACGAACCCCTCAAAGGTATGTACGCTTAATCGGATATCTGAGATAGATGAAAATTGAGAGTTTTCGAAGGATTCATATCAGCGTGCAGCGGCCCGAAAATGGCTACAATGGAAGAATGGCAGATGGTTTCTTGGTTTCGATCATTACGATCCAGAGATACATGCTTGATGAAGCATGTCAAGTAAGGTTCGAATTTTTTGTTCATTATAAACTCTCGAGTATTGATTCAGTGGAATGATTGATTCAGAACGCCTGAAGGAAAATACATTCGTCCTGTGCATGCTAAAATCGGTTACTCGGCTATGGTACACGTCCGTGCTCACATGATATCAACACAGGCTGCCTTCCTCGCTCAGGCACTCACCACCGCTATACGATATTCAGCAGTTCGACGACAAGGCGAGATCCAACCTGGGTATGGTGATGGATTGTGAAATGTAAATGAAGGCACCTAAAGAGTATGGATGACTTTGATAGCAATAGGTCACCACGCGACGTCGTGCCCACATGGTTGCGGCAATTGATTCGAGACATGTGGCTTCGCGTATGGGACGGACAGAGATGCGAGTCCGGCGAATATAAGCAGTGTTGGGTGAGGGGAAAAGTGAAAGTGGTATCGCCGAAACAAAAGGCAAATCAAAGCCGTTTCGGTCGGTATACAGATCGCGCGAGGTCGCCGTGGGTGACCTATAGTAAACATCCTGCACATGCTTGAAAAAGATCAGCGTAGCCGGCGCACTGCTCCTTCTATTTGGTTAGTGAGATTGAATTTCGCCTAAATTTCCAGAAAAGGAGAAGTGAAGATCCTCGAGTATCAAACCCAACAACATCGCCTATTCCCACAACTCGCCCGAGCATATGCATTTATTTTCACTGGACAAGCCGTGAGGGTCATCTCTTCCAAAGAGTTCAAAAGGATGTCGCTCTGGCAAAGTAGTGTGTTTGTTAATTTAATATATTAAGGCTTTTCATTCGGATAGAGACTTTTACCTTACCTTCGCCATTTAGTGAGATGTGGATTCAGTTCAACATCCATTTTAGTGGGCCCATTCCTTCAAAGTCACTGCATACCATTGTTAAAGCTTACGCTTTAAGCAGGACACCAATGCGAGGGATTATAAAGAGCTACGCAGGCTGTCTTATGGAGGACACACTTCTGTGATGTGTAAGGTCCAGCGACGTAAATGGAAGAGCTCTGATGAGGTTCCTTTTAAATACATCTAATACATGAAAACTATCAAATGATATGCGATCCGTTGAATGGATCGGGGCTCCGAGCTTTTGTGGAGGAGTCTCATGGATTGTATTTCCTGCCGTATTTAACGCTTTCGCTATATAAGAGTGGACGAGCAGTAAAATCCTTATGAGGCAGGCGTGCGGCGAAACCCTATATTACGCTAGCCAGTGCGATTGTTATATTTGATGTTGTATTTTAGCTGTTTTTTTCCTCTTTCTTATCAAAATACTTGTTCTCACAAGTACACAAGTTCATTTTCAGGCGTCTTAACCCTTCTGTCAATCGGGAAATGTTCTTTAAAGAACACATTCCCATGGGTATTTACCTTCAAACACTAATAGGCTGTCGACTCGAAACGATTGCGCTAGACCCTAGTCAAGAGAACAAAAGAAGTGTTAACTGAACAAAAAACTCATCTTGGAAAGCCGCTAGAAAGGGAGCTGAAGCGCCTTCGAAGTGGGCGTGGTTGCTCAGTCGGCTGCAATCCCCTCGGCCGACTTCCAACCACGCCCACTTCGAAGCCGTTCAGCTTTCTTTCCAAGGTGAGTTTTTTGTTCAGTCACACTTCTTATGTTCTTGACTAGGGCTAGCGCATCGTTCCACACCATTAGTGTCGAAGGTAAAAACCCTGCTGGGACTGTTGCTTTGACGTTTCTGTACTCGTGAGGTTTAGCCGGTGTAGAGAGATTAGCTCTAGTCTTTGTCGAGGGTTAACGCTGCTAAAGGAGCCAAGCATTAGGTGACGGTCATGCTTTTCGAAGATGTGCCACATTCCCCTATTTGTTGGGGGGAATTGACCCGGACGGTGTTTGCGGTGAATATGCAAAGCAATTTTGCATCACACCAACTTCGCCCTCGCGCTTTCCTACTACCTAGTGAAGATCCAAATATTATACTAAAATTTGACAATTACTAATTTCCATGAGCAATCAAGAAGTTTTCCAATTAAGATAGACGAAATGGCCAGAAGTTGCACTACATCACCTCCGGTCTCAAAGCAGTTGTCACCCACCTAGTCGGCCAAGGTATCGAACAGGCACGTATGAGTTGTGGTGGACACGGATATTCAAAGGCGTCCAACATGTCGGAACTTTATGGTAGGTGCGGATATCATTCGCTTATCCTATAAATGCAGTACAGAACTGTTGGAATCAATTTAGGTGTGGCCATTGGAGGTGCCACGTATGAGGGCGAAAACATGGTCATGCTCCAGCAGTTGGCGAGGTTCGTTTTTCTTTAAGATACTGCACATACAGTAGCGGTCAAAAATGTTCGCCGAAACGGTTTTCCGTGCTTCTCTTTTTTGCCAGAAAAAATCAATGGTAACCTCGAAATTTTTTTCTTTCGAATATCCTGATTCTTAAGACTTGAGGATATAAAAACACTAGAAGAACATAGTATATCAATCTTTGGAGGGCGTTGCTCAAACGAGAAAAAATAATGCACTAAAAATCGTTTCGGCGAACACTTTTGACCGCTACTGTAGCTCTGGAACGGGGTTATGGTTCACAAATTTAAAGCAGTAGGTGGCGCTAACCGAGTCTCTGCATGAAAATGAAAAGGAACGCCGTAAAGGTTCAGAAGTGGGGCTTCTTCTTGGCCTTGGCCACCTCTGCGAGATTCTATGAGAAGGATGGTCCAAAAAAAGGTGGCGCGCCGAGAAAAGAGAACAGACGTGCCGCAGCGGGCGTGCATGAGGTTGTAATTTCGAACCACTGTCGCCTTTACCTGAACTTGGGCCAGCGAAAGCCAAATCACCTCTCCTCTTGGAAAACAACCTTGTCGCTGAAAGGCGTTGGTAAACAAAAAAAAATAATAGGGAAAAGTGTCTTTGAGTGATGAGTTCGAATAAGCTGGGGACCTAGTGAATTTAAACTTGAATATTCCTTCAGGTATCTCATGAAATCCGCAGAAGCCGCTAAAATGGACGTGCTCTTGGAAAACTTGTTGACTACCTTCTGAGACCCAGTGAGAAGCACTCGACTATCGATCGTCAACCAGATTACGGTATTTATACTTGATTATATTTTTTGACACAACGATGTAGAAAATACTGACATTAGGATGTATGAAAACCATAGCGTTACTCGACTGCGCAGTGGAGATAAGCAAAAGGCAAAGCAGATGCCAATGTCCCGAGTATACTGTGCAAAACGTTTGTAGATTTGGGGGAATTAAGGCCCTAAGATTAGAATCCGGCATGAACAAAAGATGAAATCATTGGCTCGAACACCGCCTGGCTAACATTAGCAGGCCCGGAACACATTTCAGCGCCCCTGTGGTACACATAATTTTGGTTCACAAAAGGGAAGGGAGAGACATAGAATGGGGTAACGGCAAGCGGTACACCAAGTTGGTCGGCCGTCCGGGATGAAAGTAGTGCTGCCTAGAAATGCCGCAGTGATGAAGAAGTTGCTTTTATCCTCACTAATGTGGTATGAAATGAAGCTCCTCAATATTTTCAGGTTATTCCGGCCATTTGAAAGCGTTCGACAAGGCGGCCAAGTTGCAAGTAATGAAAGCCTATGAAAGGATGCGATCGCTCAGGTCTCAAGGACTTTCAGAAGAGGAAGCATGGAACGCTAATGCTGTTGAACTTAACCGAGTCAGTATTTTATTTTGAACTGCTGTCATTTCCTTTCAGAATTCCACGATTTCCCCCTTTCGCCATTAGCGTTCCATAAAAGTGACACACATGATATTTGTGATAGATCAGCCGCAGTTTTTTCAATTTCATTTTTCACAAGAATGCTGGGTTGTGAACAAAACTTTCGCCCCAGCGGGACTCGAACCCGCACCTCTCGCTTTCCGGGCAAGTGCGCTACCAGTTACGCTACCGGGGCACCATTTCATTCCAACTCAGCTTTTCATGGTATACTTACCATAGCTTGTAGCCCGGTAAGCGAGAGGTGCGGGTTCTAGTCCCGTCTGGGGCGAAAGTTTTGTTCACAACCCAGCATTCTTGTGAAACATTCGCAAGGCGAACTGCGGCCAAAAACAGCAGTTAACAAATCAAAAACAAGTAAATTGCATTTTTACCATTTCATTTTGTTTTTATTTATTTATTTTATTTTATTTTATCATTGCCTGCTTCGGACCGTAAACATTCCTATAATATTCTAGGCAGCACGAGTTCATACCAGGCAGTACATTGCTCGCACGTTCGATGAACACGTGAAGTCAATAGTGGACGGACCGTGTCGTGAAGTACTTCGGGATCTCCTTCATCTCCATCTCAACTATGAACTCTTAGACATGGCGTACTACCTGCTTGAAGTGAGTCTGCCTTTA